CCTTGGCTCGGGGGGGACAGCAAAAAGTAGTAGGGCCGTCGGGGGTGCAAACCCTCCGTTCCCGAAACGAATCGCCCAGGGTAAGCCTCGCTTTTAGTGTTCCCAGCTCCGTACATTCCCCTTTTCCCTAAGTGCGGTCATCTGGCCACGAAACGGTGACAAATTCACTGCGAATTAACCTTACTTGTAGCGTAGAGGAAAATTGCAGGGGGCTAGCTTAAGCCATTTCGGATTATTTCAACTACAAACCACTTCGCTGCTTCGTTAAAAGAGAAAAGCAGCGACGCAAAACCTCTGATATGAACGAGAGACCCCGTTTATAAACAGCTGTTAAAATGTGCACCTCCTGATGGGATTTTACTTTCGCTTCCGAGGTGTCCCGTCCTTTTTTTTTTTTTTTTAAGTTTAGTTTAGGAAGAAACTCTCGGTGTCATTAAATCGATCGTAAAAGTGGAGGCTGAGCTGCGATGATTTAGTCAGGTGTAGAAAGATTAACGATTACTGCAGGCTCTTCAGCTCTAGAATATACGTATGTATATATAAATACAGATGTATAGGGAGGTGTGTGGGTATGTGTGTGCGCATATGTATATTTTAATCTATTTATGGATATTTATATCTATTTATGTGTATACGTGTATGTATACACACGCGCACACACACATTCGATCAGCGTTTGCTTTAATCATAAACTACCGCCAGGTAGGTATATTTTGTATACACGGTGATTTTCTCTTTCAGTACAGCGTTGCAGAAAATTACTCGGTGGCTTTTTATCCTTCTATAGGGCTATACAGGGTGCTCCTCCTGATACCCGATAGATTTGGGCATTTTAAGCCTCCCACTTGGTGTTTACTAACATGACAGAGGGAAGAAGGCTCGGTTGTAGCGGCGGTAGGAGAAGGGCAGAGCAAAGCCGAGAAGCCGCCTCTCAGGGCGACGCGAAAGTTGACTTTTTAAACTCAATTTCCCAAAGTTACAGTGTAAAACTAGGTGACGGAGGGAAAAATTCCTGCTTCTTTTTTTTTTTTTTTTTTTTTTTT